TTTTTTCGTTTTGAGGTCCCTAGAGGCGAAAAACACCATCCGTTCAAATTCATATATATATATATATATATATATATATATATATATATATATATATATATATATATTTATATATTTATATATTTATATATATATATATATATATATATATATGTCCGTCAGCACGATAACTCGAGCAAAAATGATCCGATTTTGATGAAAATTGGTACAAACGTGTAAAAGTACGTTTATTCGAACGAGTTCGCAATCCAGCATGATCGGACCATGGGAACGGGGGTTTACGGGGGGTTTTATGGGGTAAAAATAGGTTTTTCTAATTTTTGACCCAAAAAACATAAAATTTAGCAATTTCTTTCCAAACCATTTTGTAGAGCTTAAAAAAACAAATAATTTAGTATATTGAAGCGTTATTATGCGCCTAATGGTTACAGAGAAAATTCCAAAAAATTGTAAATTTAAAATTCCCATGTTATTCTTATGGAGAATAAGTAAACTGTTGTAGTTTGCTTGTTTGTGAACATATTTTGATCAAATTTGGAAAATGTTTTTATTTCTTACTAACTATTCACATTTTACAAAAAAAATCAGTTTTACCCTCCCTGATGCAGCAAACCTAAGTACTTGTTAAACTTATTCTATTTAAATCAAGAATAAATGTTATATTTTTAAGTAGACATTTCAGTGTAAATCCAATCAGTCAAATGGAAATTCGCTTAGTCTGCAGGTTTGCTGCGGCGGGGGTATATATATATATATATATGTGTCCGTCAGCACGATAACTCGAGCAAAAATGATCCGATTTTGATGAAATTTGGTACAAACGTGTAAACGTACGTTTATTCGAACGAGTTCGCGATCCAGCATGATCGGACCATGGGAACGGGGGTTTACGGGGGGTTTTATGGGGTAAAAATAGGTTTTTCCCATTTTTGACCCAAAAAACATAAAATTTAGCAATTTCTTTCCAAACCATTTTGTAGAGCTTAAAAAAACAAATAATTTAGTATATTGAAGCGTTATTATGCGCCTAATGGTTACGGAGAAAATACCAAAAAATTGTACACTTAAAATTCCCATGTTATTCTTATGGAGAATAAGTAAACTGTTGTAGTTTGCTTGTTTGTGAACAAATTTTGATCAAATTTGGAAAATGTTTTTATTTCTTACTAACTATTCACATTTTACACAAAAAAAAAACAGTTTTACCCTCCCTGATGCAGCAAACCTAAGTACTTGTTAAACTAATTCTATTTAAATCAAGAATAAATGTTATATTTTTAAGTACCGGTAGACATTTCAGTGTAAATCCAATCAGTCAAATGGAAATTCGCTTAGTCTGCAGGTTTGCTGCGGCGGGGGTATTTATGTAAGTGATAATTCAGTTAATTTTAAGGATTTGCATAGTTAAAAATATCTTAACGAACCCGAAAAAACCGAAATGTTTCATTAGTTGAAAATATTTTCTCATGTCTAAATATTTAGTTAAAAAACCTCAAAGAACCCACAAAACACCACTCTTGTGGCTGGTAAAAGATCACTACACCTGAATCAAAATCACTCGCTTGTACCTCAATTAACGTGTAGCATGGTTGTATATGCTTGGAGCAAATGTTTAACGTTAGGAAATTTGAATGATTGTTTGTATTCAAGAAACCACTAACTCTGAAATTAATTGTGATGTCCTCCTATATTTTGTCATGAGTTATAATAACTTTATAGTAATATTTTACCTGGTAAAGTATTAAATGAAAAGACAAAAAATTGGGTAAAAATTAATAACTTTAATTTAATAATACCTTAATTTAAATGAAGGTTAAAATATTAATGTTAGGTAATAGGATAATGTTAGGTAGGATAGGTTAATACTTTATTCTGAAATGGTGACCACACGATTGTAGGTATTTTAAGCCAGGTATGAATGGAGATGGGTGTAGGATGAGTGGCGTGATCGTGTAGTTTTGTTAGTGACTAAGGCCGGAAAGTTCCTTAGACACAGCTGTTAATTAATATCCCATACAGCCAATGGGACTACAATTAAGGGACCTACAGTTTATAGAGGAATCCGAACCACATATTGGCCTTTTTAAATTACTAATTGGTCTAATTATCAGGATAATAATTTATTTTAAGATAGTTCTACATTATATACAGTCGGTTTTAGTCATGTTTGACCACGTTTATACCTTCAAAAAGATTGCACATTGTCTTGTAATTATAGATGGTACACGGCATTTATTTTTGCAAAAAATCAAATAGTGGAATATAATAATATGAGCTTTACATTCAAAGAAATCTTTTATAATCTAACCATTATTATAAAACCATAATTTAATTTTTTAGATTTTAAGAGCTTTCACAATTATGAATTATATTACATGTTTGTATTTGATAATTGTGTAATTTGAACTAATATACCTTTGGTTTTGGTATCTAATAATCCCGTATTAAAAATATGTTAAATATTTTAAAGCTATTCCTTGGGGTTGGATTAGCAGGATTGTTATGTAGTCGTTGTGGGACCCACGTTGTGTCTGAACTCAATAGTGGACACATAACAGAATCCATCCTGTGGACTTAAGAATGAGGGATATAATGTTGAATGCAGTTCTAAATAAAATTAGCATACATGTTTACAGGAATAATATCATGAGAGTTCTTTGTTAAAAAGCAAGTTAGGTGTAAAGAACGTTTTAGTAATTCGGATTACATTTCATACATACCTACGAATTTAATCCGTAAATTTTATAATTTATATTTCTCGACGATGTTCAATTGAATTAATTAGTTGGAATCAGTAGCTAATCTTGGTACTAGCATGCTTGAAACCTGATCGGTGTATTTATAAACATTTCTACAAATAACTGTGATATTATTTTTAAATTTCCTAATTGAGGCTTTTATGGATATCTTTTTATAAATAACACTGTTGCTGGCACTTAACAATAATTGTGGTTAAGATTATTAAAACCATCTTATATCACCAATATAAGAAACCCACATAAGGTTTTAAATCAAATATCATATTTAAAAAAAATCATAAACAATGTTAGAGCATATGATAGTAAACCCATCAACTATCCTTGATCCCAAGTTGATGATGAAGTTTCTTACATTCTGAAACTTTCTCTTGTGAAACTTAACTTAGGAAGGAAACGAGGAAACTTTCATCAGCCAAGCTAGTGTTTGGAATTAGACTTTAAATGCCATCACACATATTATCCAACTTTATATAGCAAAATATCACAGAACTTATGTATACATATAAAACACACTAACACAAAAAAAATATATGAATGATTGTATGAAAAATAGAATAATAGGGCTACTATATATAAATAAAGATTAAACATTAATAAACTTAGTACCCTATATATAAATAAATAAAATTGTTTCATATATTGGATTATTCAATTTTGGAATTATTGTATTTAAAATATTTGATTTGTTATTTTTGTAGTTCATATAAATATTAATTTCTTCTTTAAAATTCAATTTTTCTCTGTCTTTTTCAATTTCTAATATTGTTAAGTTTTCTTCGATATTAGTAAACGTACCTATGTTTCGATTTTAGTAAATGATCTGCAAAATTTGATTTCATTGATGTTTTGTTCTTCGATTTATCTGCCTGTATATTTTCGTTGAATCTAACTTTAAAATTTCGATAGGTTTGTCTAAGGTAGTAGTTGTCACAGTAGGAACATTTAATTTTGTAGATACCAGATGCGTTGTATATGTTTGCTGTATTGTTTGTTGTAGGATTGTTGGTTTTATTGTGTATGATTTTAACAATGTTATTTTTTGTTCTGTAGCTTAATTTTACCGGGGTATGTTTGAATGTTTTCCTGATTGCTTAGTTAAAATTGTTGTTGTATGGGACGCACATGAATTTCTTTTCTTCTTTGTGTTTCGAATCGTTTTCTAAGTTTGATTTTAACTCATTATTATTAATTATTATTATTATTAATAATTGTAATTTATTAAGCATATATACTTAAAACATAAAGCTGTTTGATTTGTCATTTATAATTTAAAAAAATAATATTGTGTAATGTCATATAGTGCTAAAATGTTTATCAGATTATTATAAAAAGTGCATAGTAATAACCTTCATTAACATTTCGAACACTAAATGAGTAGTTATTTTATTTGTTCACCATTCTGTGAAGGCCATTGCCAATTGTCTTTGATAAATTAACAGATAAATCCTTTCCTCTTCTAAATTAAGTGTTTATCTTGGAATTTTACACACAAAGCCACCACACAAGTTTATAAATAACATTTTCAGACCATATTACGTTCATAAGAAAAGTGATTAATCAATTATACGAAAATAAGGGTTACAAATGGGGAAACTGTCTATTTCAAACATATAGATGGATTGAACTAACTGGTTCATTATATTGTGAAATTGATCAATTTAAAAACAACAGGCCAAAGTATTAGTGCATTTTTAAACCCATTACAATTAAACATACTTAAGATAAGTCACTAAAATTATTAACTATATTTCTGACATTGGTGTTTGTTTATCATTGCATTTTCATCCTTCTGATTGTAAATTTAGCTGCACTTTTCTTCGGTATAACTCTATCAATCACGTATAGAATGTATTCGTTGTATTTATTAACTGATCATAGTTTTGTTTCTTATATATTATGTAGTTTCTATTTGTCCTAAATTTACTAATTGTGTACAAGAAGTGGAGCTGTGCAACGCGTACCCATTAAATACAGCAATATATATATTTGTTTTGTATTCTATAGCAGATGAAAATCATCAGATAAGGTGGCGAAATGACATATAATGCCATAAAATACAGCCAACCTAATTTTGTACTAACAATATTTTAACGCATAGTGAATTTGTGATTAACAGTCAAGTGTATTTAGGTTCAATTTAGTTTCGACTAGATTTTGTATTTTTCAAAATCTTTTTATGAATCAAAATGATGCAGAAAATATATTTAATAAGCTACACTAATTCATTTGATTTTGTTCCAGATTTCTAAAAATATAGTCGAACAAGTGGTAAGTGATGGATTTAAGTATACTTTTACTAGGTACGCTTTGCAGTAGATATTGATTAGTATATCGTATGCCTACACTCCGAAAGACTATAAAACATATTTCTTTATAACATATACCCATATATTTGGATTTGGACACACAAACAATTACAATGCTGATCAAGAAGTTATTTAATAGGAAAGATAAACACTTTTTTATCTGGCATTGCACATAAAACATACAAAGTAAATAATTGCTATAATACGGTTAAAAAAGTGGTTTTGATGGGTTGTGCAAGAATCTGGTAGACTGTACCTTAATATTCGTAAATAAAAGTATAAGAATAATATGACCGAAAAGATTCTTTGTTTTAAAATTGTGTCATTTCCAATTCAATAGACTCAATCGTTTCAAAGAACTTTGAATGCTAAACTTTTCCTATTTCCTGTATCTTTAGCCGGGATTGAATCCAAAGAATATGAGCTAAAGCAGTAAATCCCTCTTTAACAGCAAAAGCTGGAAATGAAGTATTAAAATTTGGCATATTCATGATTCAACGATAAATAAATTATTGACCTAAGGATTGAAAAAGAGGTAGCCTATGCTAGTGATTAGTGATTATTAAATCCAATCCCCAGTAGAAACTTTGCAATTGCGTTATTTGTCTTATTATACCACTTGTATACATTTTTACATTTATATTGCTGTCTTCTGAAGGTTAGAATATCATCCACACACCTCTTCAGCACACTGTCCTTTGCTTTGTTGATAATTATTTTATATAACTAATGGTAGTTCTAGGACCAACAAATAATTATTACAATGGCACTATGCTTTTCTTAACTAAAATTTTTAACAACTGTTTTCATATTTTGTTAATACAATTCAAATAAAAAAAACATATTGATGTTATCATATCAATTAAAATGTTAAACAATATTTCTATTATGGTTTATTACGTTTAAACTGAGAATACTAGATTAATACAAACATTGTAGTTGTCATTACTTAAAACTATCAAATAACAATAACTAAGCAAAAACCTGCTAGGAATAAACTTACGAATTCTTTAAATTAAAATATCTAAATAAGTGTACACGTTTGTTTTTTTAAGCTTCCACAAAAGAATGGAAATGTTAACTCAAATCTGTTTATGTTCTCAATGTTTAACTGTGTTTTTTCCGTGAGGAATTCTAGAGAGGTCTAGAGGCCGTGTAGTAGACACAGGTCTAGGGTCAAAGACGTTAACCTCGACTGTGAGATTACAGAGGTGTCTTGCTGAGATAATCCTCCACCTGTATCTCAACCCTTATTATGGAATCTCTTGTGTAACAAATTAACGTCTGATCTGAAATAGTGAGTAAGAAAAGTCCTGGAACGGTTGAAAAAATATATAGTTTTAACCATTATAAAATAGGAGAATTTGGTACACTTATGATACTCATAAAATCCCATTTTTAAAGAACTTTCGTGTTATTTATTTTACATCATAAGGGAGACAGCCCAAAAAGGGAAGTAAAAATTCCTAATTGTAATCATAGGATAATGGGGAAATCGAAATATTAATAATAATAATAATAATATTAATAAGTAGAATAACTTCTTTATAATTGGAAAACGATTCAATAAACCTGACCTAATTAGTTTGACCATATTCACAAATATAGCATTTTGTAAGTTTGATCTTATGTTAAAATGTAAAAGCTTAAGATTTCAAATCAGTTTTTTGAAAAATCTTTGGTACCGTATATTTTATACTCTATTATTAAATTTTATATTAAAAATATTTTATACATCAATTACTGTTAAGTAGCGAAAACAACATTATTTAGTATGTGTAAGTTTATTTATTAGTTAAGAGCTAAGCAAATAGAAAATGAGTTTGTTATGAATAAAATTATATCATATTGACGTCGGTTACACAGAACATTTAGTAAAGAATTCTATTTGCTGTATTTATAATCTCTAGAGACAGTACTTAATTAACACTATTACACTCTTATCAAACCGTTATGTAAAAATAAAAAATAAAAACATAAAATAAATATAAAAACAATTCTTGGGCGTAAACAAAAAATAACAGAAATTATGCTAAACATACTATTTAGTATAGTGCGCCTTTATAATGGATTCATATAATAAAGATGCAGTTTAGCAAAGTATAATTTTCTGATACATGATCTAAATATCTATGTGTATAAAGTCCGATAATATGGATTATTTTTAATGGTTTAGACTTTTGAATCGTATGATCATAGAGAAGTAAGTATGACATAAAGTTAGAAATCAGAAGGATTATTAAGTATATTGCTAAGGAGGAAAAATAGTATATTAAACCAGCAACCAAATACATCTGAAATATATTAGTACATCTTAAAATAGCTAGCAGTACTTGATTTATTTAACAATAAACCAACTTTCAACTCAACATTGATGACACAATTAATTTGTATGTGAAACTCATGTGGAAATAAGGTATTTGATCAAATCTGTTGGTCGCCTTATAGCATTTGTCCAATGAACCGGTTAATTAAAGTAGCATTAAAAACATTTTCGCTTGCATAAATATAGCTTACTTAATTTCTAACCTATAAATTGGGAGCGAGCTGGTCTAAAGGTTAGAACGTGGAGCTTCAGTTCCTGACGTCCCAGGTTTAAATCCAACTAAATCACCAATGGCTTTTATCTAAGTGATAGTGCTGCTTCCTCTAGGTTTAGCCTTGAGTTATGTAAAAAACATATTCTGGGCTCGTCAAAAAAAACCTTTAAAATGTAAAACATTAATGGTACATAAAATATTGGTTTTTTATTACATAAAATGGTTTAAGTGGTACAGTACGAAACCTTTGTTAATTTGAGAAAATGTAAATCACGGTACATATTGTTAATACCATCTAAGCCACAGACAACGCCGTGTTTTACAAATAAAGCTTTGGTAAAAGAAGGCTTACACAAACAAAACTTGATTTCCTCCGAGAGAGGCTTCTATACTAACCCAGCTCTTAGTCTCTAAGCGCTTTTCATTGCTTTTGATTCAGCCGTAGTTTAATTATACCACCTTTTTTAGAAAGGATATTATTTAGATAATATCCTTTAACAAAGGAACAAAACCATATTTATGGATACAATGCATTTTTTAACAATACTAAACATGATAATGGTATGGAAGGATTATGGACTTTATTATTTGAATCTGTAGATACTCATAGATATAAACTATAAACCCTGGTAGCCATACCTTTAGTTAATTTTTTATTTAAGTACGGAATACGTAAACAGACTAATTTTGGATCTGGTCATTCAATGAGGTTATTTTATTTAAAATTGTACACAGCAGGGGTTCATTTTAACATAATTATATTATTCATAGACATATTAATGCATTTAAGTTTAAGAAAGAATGACAATGTATTATAAGAAAAAGGTTTTCTGGTTTACTAAAGAGACATTTCTCAGTTTAATGGAGTGTAAAGACGTGTAAAAAGAATATTTCTATAATCCTATATTTATTGTACGTGTGTTAGTAACTAACATGGCATATGTGTGTACCTAAGTTAAAATCTACTAGGAACTAACACATATATATACTAAAGAACGAGTGAAAGAATTTTTCAATACGAAAGTTAACGTTAGGAATCATATACAGGGAGCACTTAAAATGTTCTGGCTTCGTATATTACTATTTTAATTCTTTTTACTATATCCATTTAGAAGAGCTAATTGTAGTCATTTTTAGAACAACCTAATAACTTTTATAACACAAATATATTTATTTATTGATACAACAAAAAAAGAGTTTAAAAATAAAATTTTATAAAAGGTTTGACAACGAAAAACACTATTATCGTGTAACACAAGTTCATTTAATCTCATAACTATAACCGCCATTGTGATTTTTTTCAGTTTTATAGGAATATACTTTACCCTCTACTTCCTCTCTCAAAAGCAACTGTTCACTTTCTCCCTTTCATTTGACAACTTCTTGTTTTATAGATATATTTTATACCTTTTCTTCAATGCTTATTTGAGTTGTAATTGTTTCTGTTACAAATATTTATATGGGGAAATTTAAAATGTGTTTTAATAAATAGTTGCAGTTTATTTATTTTTCTATTTTTTTTTGTTTTTATTTAACAAAGCAGACATGCAAAAAAAAAAATAATGTCACATTTTGATCAATAATTTATTACATGACAGTAATTTACTCTACTCTAATAGTAATTTGCTCATTAAGTATGTTAATTAACAATAAAGTACTTTCATTTTAGAATTTCAATATATAAAAAAAAAACTTATTTTTACATTTGTAAGTCAAAACTCTGATTCCATGGTAAAGTTGAGACCCAGGTTGGTAGGCGACGGTCAAGGGTCGAAGACATTAACCTCGAATCTGAGATTAGGGAAGCGTCGTGCTGAGATAAGCCCCTTGATCTCACCATTTCAATCCTCAAAGCTGTTAGGGTTAAAACAAAGTCAGGAAAATATTCGTCGACGCTTGTTTGATTTAATTTGATATAGTAATCAAAAATGTAACCATAACAATTATTTGTTATCATTTTAAATATTTGTTTAGGTTTTCCTTAGAAATATCTTTGGGTACGTTCAGAAAACATAATGTGTTTCAGCTGCAAAATAGATTGTTTATGCTCATACTGAATTTTTAGTCCTAATACTCGTATAGCTTAAGAGACTCTTTTCATATAATGTAAGGCTACTGAAGAAGAAAACATGTGTTGGCAACTGGTGTTGGAAGATAATTAAAACGTGTATACGAAACCATAAAACTTTGCAAAAGCAATGTTAATAATAGTTTTTAAGATTGATAAGATTTTACTAAAAAAAAGAGATAAAATACAGTAGATGGGTTTTAAGAAGTGATTTAATGTAAACAAGTAATATAAACAGATCATAACAATTAATTAAATATATGTTTTTATCTTCAAATGGCAGGCAGTAGAGACATACATATACAGATACATTGAGTACTTCTAACATACTGCAACTACCTGAGCACAATGAAT